TTGGGATCCTTCCCTGATATTTGCTTTGATTTTAATAACCAGGCACAAACAGGGGGATTTCCACCCAAATCCCACCAGCCCTCAATGTGAGTCTCCTCCAGCCCACGAAGAGCATTCTGCCCCCTGGCCCAGCTGGAAATGCCACCTCCCACACTCAGACATTCCAAGGAATGCCTTTGTGAGGGAAGAGCTGCTGGAAATGCACAGCTGTGGTCCAAAACCCATGAGAAGTTTGCAGTTGTGACTGCAAGGATGTTCAGATCCACGTTCACAATCACAAAACCGCCAGGGATTTGTCGTTGCAACCACAAATGGCCAAAATCTGGAGTTTGGGACCACAACGGCTGTGATCCAAACCTGCTTCATTTTGCAGCTGCAGCATAAAAACTTCTGCAAATGTGTGCTTGGGATCATAAAATCACGGCGGGTTTATAGTTGCAAGAGCAAAACTGCTGCAGATTTGTAGCTATGATCCCCAAACTGCTGCAAATCTGTGTTTGTGATCACAAAACCCCAGAAGATTTACAGCTGCAGTTATAAAACTGCCACAAATTTGCATTTTGATCCCAAAGCTGTTGTAAATTCATAACTGTGATCCCAAAACTGCTGCAGATTTACAGTCATAATCCCAAAACATGCTGCAGATTTACAGTCGCAGCCACAAAATCACTAAAAACTCATGTTTGTGATCCCAAACCTGCTGCAGATTTCCAGTCACAATCCCCAAACTGTTGCAAATTCACAGCCGATCCCAAACACTATGTAAATTCCTGTTTGTGATCCTAAAACTGCTGGGTATTTCCAGTTACAACAACAAAACCGCTGCAGATTTCCAGTTGCAACCACAAAATCACTAAAACTTTGTGCGTCTGATCCCAAACCCTGCTGCAGATTCACAGCTGTGATCCCCAAACCTCAATTCCCATTTAAGATCCCAAACCGCGGCACTTTTCCGTTCGCGGCCACAGACCCGCCCGCGGTTCTCCGGAGCCGCCCCGATCCGCGATGTGCCCACCACGAACCCCCTCTGCCCTCCCAAACCCGCTGCCCCAGCGCCATTCCCGATCCCATTCCCGGTCCCGCTCCCATTCCCGGTCCTAATCCCATTCCCAGTCCCAATCGCATTCCCAATCCCAATCCCATTCCCGGTCCCGATCCCATTCCCGGTCCTAATCCCATTCCCAGTCCCAATCCCATTCCTGATCCCGATCCCATTCCCGATCCCAATCGCATTCCCGATCCCGATCCCATTCCCAGTCCCGGTTCCATTCCCGGTCCCGGTTCCATTCCCGGTCCCAATCCCATTCCCCATCCCAATTCCATTCCCGATCCTATTCCCGGTCCTGATCCCATTCCCAGTCCCGGTTCCATTCTCGATCCCGATCCCATTCCCGGTCCGGTTCCATTCCCGGTCCCGGTTCCATTCCCGGTCCTGATCCCACTCCCGGTCCCGATCCCATTCCCGGTCCCGATTCCGGTCCCCGTCCCGGTCGCGGTCCTGATCCCATTCCCGGTCCCGGTTCATTCCCGATCCCATTCCCGGTCCCGGTCCCGATCCCGATCCCATTCCCGGCCCGATCTCGATCCCGGTTCATTCCCGATCCCATTCCCGGTCCCGGTCCCGATCCCGGTTCATTCCCGATCCCGATCCCGGTTCATTCCCGATCCCATTCCCGGTCCCGATCCCGGTTCATTCCCGATCCCATTCCCGGTTCATTCCCGATCCCGATCCCGGTTCATTCCCGATCCCGATCCCGGTTCATTCCCGATCCCGGTCCCGGTCCCGGTCCCGGTCCCCACCCCACGCTCGCCCCGCCGGGGGGAGGCGGTGGCCCCACCTCAGCCCCGGGAGCATCTCCCGCGCCCCGGGCACCCCCTTGCCGCGGCCTCCTCCTCGCCAGCCCCTTTTCCCGGGATTTGGGGCGGTTCGGGCTCGGTGCCCGCCCGCGGGAAGCGGATGCGGGGTCAGGATTAGCCCGAAATCCGCATCCCCTCCCCGCGTGACGGCGGGAGCGGGGACCCTCCTCTTCCTGGAGGTCCCGACAGCGGCACGGCCCCATCCTCCCCCAGAA